GCCATGCGCATAGCGAAATAAACTCTAGTGCCTCCTCAACACACACAAGCTGTCACATGTCAGCAGTGTGGATTTTAAGCGCCCATCAGCACAAGGGAGCAAGCTTCAACACATTGGAGGATAAACATAACTCATCTCTTTGCTCCTCTTGCCTGACAGTACCTCTCTACCCAAGAGCGGACATGTGTCCTCGCTGATTGTGTGTGCTCTCTCTCTCTCGTGCGTTCTTTCTGGTTAGCAGGCTTGGGGAGCGCATTATGTTAAAATATTATTTGACGGTTTAATTAATTCTATAATATCTTGTGTCAGGGCCAAGGAAGTGTAGTGTGCTTGAGCCACGGTAAGGAGCACTCACATTAGTCAAATGAGATGTACTTTGGGGGTCAAACATGATTGGCCCGGCTTATAAAGTGTGAGTGCGCCCTGACTATCAAAATGTTCTGGAGAGATTTATTTGAGTTAGAATGAGAGATGGTCATGTAATGTGGGGCAGTTTGGAAGATGTTCTTTTTTTAATGAACCGGTAATCAAATGTCAATGTCTTATGACGAACATAAAATTAATTTCCATTAAGGGAAAGTTCCAAACATCATTTAATTAGCTGTGAATGTTAGTGCTTTAGAAAATTAAAATCTGAATTGGCCAAGGAAATAGCAATCAATGCATCTCTGCATAATACTAATAAATTGAAGGCGTTAGTGGGGTGTCTTTTTGTCAACGTTTGATCGATTGAATACGATCTCTATACCTGCACCATTAACCCTTATTTATTGGCTTTGCTAACACCTCCAGGGATAACTACATGCAAACTGCATTACCTACCTTGAGTACTATGTTGTCAGAGAATTTCCGCTTGTGGGATTAGTAAAGTATATCTTCTTCTTTATGCCAGCTTGAAGTAAGATCTACTTGTGTCTGCTCTTCAGAGCCTGGAATTCCTAATTATGTATATCTGACACAAATGTAATTAACATCTCAAAGGGTGCAATATTTGCCACTCTAGCGGCCGTCGTGCTCTCATTAGTCATACTCATACCAGAGCTGCCTGGGGCCGAGGTGTGGAATTTGAAGAACGCCTGGACTAACTGTCGGTCCTCTTCTGCCCTGTTGGGTAGATCATGGGGTCGAGCTCCAGGGCTCTGCTTAAGTATTACAGGGGTCATGGCTCATTGCTACAGGACAACCACAGAAGCTAAGAATTTTATTAAAGTGTTATAGAATTAAGATGTTCTCCTTTGATAAATAATTTTCAATGATATCAGTAATGAAAAGTGTTGAAAACGAGAATACATGATTATTGGTTGTGTAGGAGTCTTAGTAGTATGCCTAAACTGGAACTAATGTGGGATTTGCTCAGATATGTCAGAGTGTTGAGGCCGAAACGCTGATTGCTCTCGTTGGTGGTCTTAATCTTTGGGGGCTCTGTCAACCAGGCTACTGCAAAGGCTGTTAAGTCAAAATCTTCTCATGCTTGTAGTAAACAGTGACGGTGTCCTAACATGCACATTCACAGTTTACTCCCCTTTTGGCTTGTACGTAAACCAAAACATCTGTTGCAGTTGTCCAGCAGTGTTGGGAATCTTAAAAGCATATAGAGCGAAGATCAATATAAATGCACCGAGTTAAATCCATCTGGAAATTGTCCAATCACAGACGTCACCACAGTACAGCACCAATTCATGTTGAAACATAGTTAAGTGTCTTGCATAACAGAAGAGGTCGACGATGCCAAAACTAGCGCTTTACAACTAGACTGAACATGATCTGTTACAGTGTTGATCCATAAACTATGTTCCTTGTCTTGCTCTATTAATCCCATTCCGTGCTACATTCCCGCTCGTGTACAAATTTGCAGTCATTGACCTAAATTGCGTTCTTCTTGTAGAGCCAAATTTAAATAAAGATAAATAAAACTTTTAACCCCCAATCAAATCAACATAGCTCCCTTTATACTTCAGTGTACTACATTCCTGTTAAGAATTAAGTCTTGGCGTCAAACTTAGAATGAAAGACCAGCTGTGATTTTTGACATACAGCGCAGGTAATTTTGGAGAAATGACTACGTGACAGAATGACATGTCTTCTGTCCAAAGGGGGATTGCTGTTAGTTTTATTTGTGTTTGATTTGATAAGCTTCTGAGTTTGCGATGGGCGGAGCACACATTTTATAAGTCCATTCTGCATTCAATCACGTTTATATAATCAGAGGAAGTAACACCTCTCATTAGGACGAATATTCCATTATTTGTAAAGCCCTAGCAGCACTGATTGCTGACTCCTCTTATCCGTGGGACGTTTTTTTTCTTTCTAAGTCAGACTTGTTTGTGTGTCTGTAGTTACACCTGGTCATCACTCTTTGTCCTTCCTGCTTTACATCCTGTTCCTGTGGAATCACATGCAGTACAAATTCAGTGCATTCAGCTTTAATATGCAGCTGTTCTGTGTGCGCTGAAATGAATATTTCATCTCTGCGGTGTAATGCATGATTTTGTGTTTTCTGATGTATCTTGAAGAAAGTGTAAACTGAGACTCGACTGCAAAGGCGAGGTCATTGGCCTCGTAACGTTATCCTGTATGGGATGGCGGTTTATAGATCTATTGACAGAAGGGTCAAAGTCTGCTTTCTTTAGTCAGGGTGGATATCAGGGTGTGTTCAGTCGTCAGGGTGAGTTTGAGACGAGACCTTGTGATTCACACGCACACACACACGCATGCACGCACGCACGCACGCACGCACGCACACACACACACACACACACACACACAGTAAATTCTCACATACACCGGACTCTGATCTCTTACTTGTGTCACAATGTAACTATGATTCATTCAGCTGACTGCATGGTTACCATAAACGGTCTTTGTTGGTTACCAGTCTGATATTTTGATATATTACCTACCTGTGATTTGTGTGCATGTCCAGCCATTGGAGGACTGTCTTGATCCAGATTGAATCTGATCAGTCTCACAGAATATGGACAGACCTCTGAGACATGAATTATGTTAGTTATTGATTTCAGCCATAGCAGCAGCATGCTTGAAGTTGTAGCTATGGGATTAAGAGCCGGAGCATAATATTGACATTTAAAGGGAAAAAAACATGGCGCTCTAAACAGATTTCTCTGCCAATTTGACTCACCAAGTCACTACTTCATGTCTCCTCCTCACTGTGGCATTTAAACAAATTTGAGGGAAATGTCAACAGAAGTGAATTGGCCAAAGATGAAGTTAACAGCGGGATAGATGAAGCGGGATAATTCAGACAGTAGTGAAAGTAAAAAGATGAAGCTTGATATGAGATGGAACTGACTCCTGATAGCTGTGAATAATCCCATTAATCATGCACTAAACCTTCTTTGGGGCATTTTAGAGTTCTTAGATGTTATGTTTTTACGTTATCGTGTTACACATATTGTAATGAAAGCTTAGTGGGCTTAATATTATTAATACACAGACTTACTTTCTTTAAAGTTTGGTTTGATAATCGTCTTGTTCCTTTTACCTATTATTTAATAAACAGTTAATAGATTAAATCCTTTTTTGAACTTTATTGCTGTTTCTACTAGAATAGCAGAGATGCTGTGGGCACTGGATTCTTTCCTTTTTTGTATTAGGGAAGCCATCGGGCTTTAAATAGGGCTGCACCCGCAGCAGGTCTCTTTCCACAGTTAGTGACATCATCTTTATGGCCCTGTGGTGATACTTGGAGTCAGGACAGACTAGGGTGTGTCTGAGTCACCCACGACAACAGCATGGGTTTATGAAGGTACCAATCAATCTGGAGAGACCACTGGATACTTCTGTCTTAAAGGGTTTGGAGATGAGGTAGATTTTTGGAAAATTAGTGAGGATGAACATTACAATTGTGCAACGAGAGTGTGTGTTCATCAGGAATTCATTTGTAGACAATATTTTTATATTTGTAGACAGGGAAGCTGTGGCTCAGTTGGTTGTCGTCGTCTCTCAACCAGAAGGTTGATCCCCAGCTCCTGCTGCAACATGTCCGATGTGTCCTTAGGCAAGATATTTAACCCAGAATTGCTCCCACTGCTTCGTCGGCCACGTTGGAATGTGTATGAATGTGATTAGCTTCTTCTGATGGTCACTTTACTTAGCAGCCTCTTCCATCAGTGTGTGTATGTATGACATGAAGTGTAAAAGCACTTTGAGTAGTCAGACTAGAAAAGCGCTTTGCAAGCTCAAGTTCATTTTCCATTGACATAAGTAGGTTATGTAAAGGGCCCATGGTTTAAGGTTGAATTCGGGGCCATTTTAAAGTAAGGAGATGCGGTGGAAAACTAAGCATCTGTTGGCATGTGTCTTCTGTAAATGACGTCACCACTAATAACTTTCCTTAATTACTGTGGGTGGTCCAAAACGGGCTAAAACTAATCTTAGTTTGCTTCAGTGCAGCACCAATAAAACCCTGGCTCCTTTTCTTTTGGCAGAGAGACAAATCAAAGCCTGAGAGTCTCAGCCTCATACAGTTTGTATTCTTCTTCTTAGTGCACATTATTTAATTATCAGCCAGCTAATAAGGATTGATAAGTGAAATTTTTTTTGAAAATGGATGCTGGTTCACATCACTTGGCGATTTTATGGGACGGTGAGACACTCACTCATGAAGTGCTCAAAACTAAGAGGAACATGTTCACTTTGCAAACGTTTATTCATGTTATTTGAATTGTTTTCTGGAATTTTCTCAATAAAATGAAATACAAAGAGCCTTTAAACATCTTTTGGACGTGGAACAAACTCTGTCATCTCTGATTTTCTGCCTAGGCGGCATCCCATGTTTTATTTACCCTAGAATCCATCAATGTGCGTTTTCTGAGATGTTCCTATTTTGTGTTTGCGTGTGAGTCAGCTTAATTTCACAGGTGGGATTTAGGATTAAACTGTAACTGTCCTGTTTTAAAACACACTCTCTCTTCCAGCATGGACGATGTTCTCTTGAGACTAATCTCATTACTCTGTTTTGTTCGTCTTTGTCTTTACAGACAGGCCGCATTGACAAATCCTACCCCACAGTGTGTGGTCACACAGGCCCGGTGTTGGACATCGACTGGTGCCCTCACAATGATCAGGTCATCGCCAGCAGCTCAGAGGACTGCACAGTGATGGTAAGATTTGTCTCTCCTTTGACACTTGAACTCAGAGCTTTTTAATGAGGCTAAAAACGCCCCGTTCTGGAGCTAATGAGGGACAAGAGATTACATGCTTTTATTGCGAAAGGCTGGACTGTTGTAACACAGGGATGGGTGCAGTCCTCGCCCTCTGGATTAGATTAGGCCCAAATATGTGTTGCAGGAATCAGAGCTGGGGAATGATTTAGCTATTTATTGAGCTGACCTCATCGACTTTTCTGAGACTGTAGTTTTACTTTCCTCCATATGTCCTTATTTGGACCGTGAAAGACTGAAATGATAAGTGTGCTGCCTGTTTACGTATGCTGCCACCACTCACCTGAAAGTGCCGACTTCCTGTAAAAACAACCCTGAATCAATGCCAGATTCATTTCATGTTTGCAGAAGTATACGCTGTGTCAAAAAGGAACCATCAATGGTCCCTCTTTTCACAGCTTTTAACCTTTTTAAAGGGAAGTTCACAGCCTTAAAAAGGATCATGCTCATGTTTGCTTTAGATTAGGTGAAAGATGGCGGTGTAACTGATGCATGCTGATGGAAGTGGCCACACGTAGAGTCTATTAAAAAAGGTTTTGAGCAAACCTGATGCTTTGATGCATTGAAATAAAGCAAATGTCCAAAGTTAGCCAAATTTGAAACCTTTCAATACCACCTGTTTTTTGAACGATACAATCTCTTGGTTATTTTAAAACTACAGATATTAAGTCATAGTTCTAATCAAAAGCTTCTGCATGCAAGAGAGAGAGAGAGAGAGAGAGAGAGAGAAAATTAAGTTGAGTCTAAATTACAAAAATATGCCAATATCGAGATGAAAAATTCTGGTGAATTAAAGATAACCAAACACTACAGAAGAAAGGCTAAACAATTGACCTCGGTTGGTTTGGATGTAGCTAGGCGAGACTCTGAGCAGGAAAAGTTTGGCAACAAAAGCCCCCTGTGTATTCTTCTGCTAGAGACAGTAATACAGGAAACTAGAGAACAGAAACCTGTTTGTAAATTTAATGATTAGTCTGACATAACCTCACTAAAACTATCTGTTTGATGGAGAGACATGTGACACTTTCATCAATAGGTGTAGGAAAATGGCTGCCAGTTAATGGTGATATGGTTATAAGAAACAAAACAATAAATATGTTCTACTCAGTAGTCTTGTTTTCTGGACAACACATGTGTTAGGTTTGTGTGAGGGATGGTGTTGGATGTAGTGTACAGAGGAGGAAGCATTATGGTGCAATACACAGGCAAGCAGCAGAGATGAAACACAGCTCCTGCATGACCACCAACATTATCACACATACCTGCTCTCTCACTGTGAATGGTCCAGGTCATACCTGTTCAGTTCCCACGTGATTGAGATCCGACATCACGTTATTTACATTATTATAATGTCTGATTTGACTGACTGATGTAAGTGCCCCAAACATTTGTGCTCTCACTTTATCTTACCCAGGCCATGAATGAGTTCAGATTGAAAATGCAAAGTGTGGAAGCAGCTTCTCTTAGACCACACTAGACCACATTTCATTCAGGCTGCATTTTTTTATAAGAAAAATACTTTGTGTATCATTTATTTCAATAGTGAAATTAATAAATCTTACTTTACGATGCTTAAATGGAGCTAATATCACATCTGTCAGTAAATAATATGCTGTTGTATGCTGCTGAACTCTTGGTTACTGCTGCCCCCTGCAGGTACATTCTGGTAACTGCAGTTTGTAATGTTTTCTGTGCCTTGATACTGTTGCTAGGCTGGGCTTGATTCATCCTGATGTAAGACAATAACATGTAACAAGGCTTCACTGTCACTTCATTCCTTGATCTCTGTGCTGTTCATGTCCTCCTCAGGTGTGGCAGATACCTGAGAATGGTCTCGTCACTGCACTATCTGAGCCTGTAGTGGTTCTGGAGGGCCACTCCAAGCGTGTTGGCATCATCACATGGCATCCAACAGCACGCAATGTCCTGCTAAGTGCAGGTAAAAGGACACTTTTTTTTGCCTTTATTAGCTAGGACGGCTTAAGAGAGACAGGAAATGTTGGGAGGAGAGAGTCAGGTAGACGTGCATCAAAGGGAGGCTGGGAGTCGAACATTCAGACAATGTGTTGAGGACTGTAGTCTTCTAGCCTGGGGGCCTCCTGTGCTAAATGATCTAAATCTATGCCCCAAAAGGATCTCTTTTTATCTAAAAATCTACACAGCAACTCTGCTGAATCTTTTAGCCATGACATGTCGTCTTTGTGGCAGATGTCTCGAGGTGAAAATATTGTGTGTCTTGAATGTGCTGCTGTCCTGCTCACCTTTTATGTCACCCTGTCTGAAGGTTGCGACAACCAGATCTACATCTGGAACGTGGGCACAGGGGAGGCCATGATCAGCCTGGAGGACATGCACCCTGACGTCATTTTCAACGTGTGCTGGAACCGCAACGGAAGCCTCATCTGCACCTCGTGCAAGGACAAGGCCATCCGTGTCATCGACCCTCGCAAGGAGACCATCATTGCTGTAAGCGCTTTTTAAAGATGTCTTTGTTGTGAACCATAATTATTAATGACACTGGATTTATACTCATCAATGTGTAGCTGTCTCTCTAACATTCAGAAAATAAATTTAAAAAAGTTACAGCTGATTGGTGTCAACTTAAAGTACCTCAGACTGTGATTTATAGACCAACCAAGACCTGACATGGAAACACAGCCACCTATTGACTGGAATTGTAGGATAAACAAAAAAGGGACAAAAATAAACATAAGTTTTGTATTCTGTAAACTTCACAGGAGAAGGAGAAGGCACATGAGGGCGCTCGACCAATGAGAGCCATTTTCCTCTCCGATGGAAACCTCCTCACAACCGGTTTCAGTCGCATGAGCGAGCGACAGATCGTCCTTTGGAACGCAGTAAGCAGCACAGCATTTCCACATTTTACGATATAACATAATTTAACTAATGGGAATAGTAGGTACCCGAGTCGTCTAAAGAACTGACCATACTATTTTGTATTTCTATTACTTGTTAAAATTGTTATTGTCAGAATCTGGGTTTTTTGGGCTTCCAAACTTTTGCAAAATGGTTGATATTTTTTTCATTGTTTCATTGTAAGACTTGTTACTGGTGTTAAAAGTATCTTAAGTATTGAACATTTTGACAACCTTATTTCAGAGAACAAGCTCATATCTGTGTTTGTCATCACTCCAGAAGATGTCTTATTAACCTTTGCGCTCTTTCATCAGCAAAACATGGAGGAGCCCATGACCGTTCACGAGATGGACACCAGCAACGGAGTTCTGCTGCCCTTTTACGATCCAGACACCAACGTGGTTTACCTCTGTGGGAAGGTGCGTTACCCTCCAAGCACACCATTAAATTACATCAAGAGTCATCAACAGAACGCAGAAACAGAAACTCTTCTTTGTTTCCTGACAGGGTGACAGCACCATCCGTTACTTTGAAATCACGGATGAGTCTCCCTATGTTCACTATCTCAGCGCCTACTCCTCCAAGGAGCCTCAGAGGGGGATGGGCTACATGCCTAAGAGAGGCCTTGACGTCAATAAGTGCGAAATTGCAAGGTAAATGTTGTCAGATGGAGGGTTAATCAAGTCAATCAATCTTCATTTGAGCAGCGTCAAGTCTTAACAAATGTTACCTCAAGACACTTTACCACTTTACAAAGATCCAACACCAATCCGCCCTGAGCAAAACACTCGCCAACATCGAGCAAAGTAACGTTAGCAAAGAAAAACATCCTTTAACAAACCTCAAGCAGACTCATCTCATGTTGAACTGCCATCTGCTGAACGAACAGGGAGAGACAGATAAACAGCAACAACAGCTAATTCAGAAACTGGCTAAAATGCAAATAATATTTGTCAAATTAAAAGTTATTCCTCCTGACATCAAAGTGTCTCTCACGGGGCACCAGATAGCCTCAAGGTCATGGCGCACGCCCCATGTTCAGAGGCTGTAGTCCTCGTCGCTGTGGGTTCTGAATCTGACCTCGGCCCTTTGCTGCATGTCGTCCCCGACTCTCTCATTTGCTGTCACTCCTCAGCTGTCCTATCCAGTAAATGCAAAGAACCGCCCAATAATTTAACTTATAGAAAATGAAAGTGTGTCTCACATTTTTGATTAATGTCCCAAGATGTAATGTGCAGTTTCTAGCTTCACCACAGGGTGGCAGAGTAATCACTGATCTCTCTCTCTGGACTCTCCATGTTGAACTATTTAAAAACAGCCTGTTACCTGTTTTGTTTATTATTGTGTGTAATTTGTTTGTTTTTGTGTATTTGCAGGTTCTTCAAACTGCATGAAAGGAAGTGTGAGCCCATTGTGATGACTGTCCCCAGAAAGGTGAGTTCTTAACTGAAGTTTATTAAACCGATGAGACCGCTTAGTTTGTTTTTCTCAATGACTGGATGCCTCCTGAGGCCTTATCTGTCACTGTGCTGGTTTAAGAGTTTTCTATCTCCCCCCCCTCCCGTCAGTCTGACCTCTTCCAGGATGATCTGTACCCGGACACGGCCGGCCCGGACCCCGCCCTGGAGGCCGAGGATTGGTTCGAGGGCAAGAATGGAGACCCCATTCCCATCTCCCTCAAGAACGGCTACGTCCCCAACAAAAGCCGCGAATTCAAGGTGGTTAAAAAGAACTTTTTGGACGGCAAGGGGACCAAGAAGTCAGAGAACTCGAGCCCTGCCAACAGGTCTGCCTCCCCGACTCCATCAATCGTAAGTCTTTACTCTTTCTGATAATTGATTATATTCAGGAATCAGTTTCAGTTCAGTTATTTATTGTTATTTAACATTGACTTTGCAATGAACATGGCTTCATATGTAAAATACAAAGTAGAGGAAGTGCATACAGGATCTAGCCAAACGGCATAGTACGACCTTTTTAGGACTTTGATCCTGTTCGATACCCTCCAACCTTAATAACAGAGATTTTATAGTTTTGCTTAAATTTGCTTAAGAACAGGTTGTGTGAGCTCAATTATCCCTCAGAGGATTTAAATAATGGAGTGCATTCGTCGTTCTTTACACTTTAAACATATCAGACATCAGAGTCTTTTTCTGACCCACCCCCCATCTCTCTGTCATTAATGCCCCTCACTTCTGGCTCCCTCTGGTTGTCGCCGTCTCTCCGGGGCTCTCAGTGTCACACAGACAAATTGTACATGTTCAAAGCGGTGCAGATTGCTGGCTGTCTTTATGAGATGGTTTGTAAATGTTGTTCGACCCACAAACTGAGGGGTCTGCTGCTGCTATGGGTGCCTGCTGCTGGGCGTCCTGCCGCACCTCACCCACAACACAGCCGCCCGCCCGGGACCCAGCCCATGTGTCTCTGTGCAGTTCTGCTCTGTAATCACAGCCCACTGAGCTCCAGTGCTGACCAAACATGTTAACCCTCAGAGTCCTGGACCTGGCCAGTCTCATAGCCCTTTTCACTCCTGAAAATGTCTAGAACATTTCTGGACAGCCTGCCCCTTAAATCTCTCGGAGTTGCCCTTCCACACATGTCCATCACAGCGGAGGATTTTCCCTTGAGAGGAGTAGGAGGAAGGACAATATGTAAAATGGACGCTGTGGAAGTCTGTAATATTAACAACATACCCAAAGCCCTATTATTGCCATATTTACAAAACTCGACTCGACGCAAATTTCCTGGGTGAACTGTATGTGTGAACGCAAACAGTCCAAGTTATTACTCCGACTTTATCCAGACTTTTTCATGTGTGCATTTGACATCACGTCCTGCCTCCTGAGACCCCCGAATCCTGTATGACGGAGAAAATCTCCAACTGTGAGATGCATCATTTTTGCCTTTACAACAATTCTATGTGTAAGAGGACGTATTCAAGGTATCATCAAAGAGTGTATAGAAAGGAAGCAGCTTTGTGACTTGTAGATCCCTCCTGGTTCACAATGGTGGCCAGATATAAACCTGATTACTCTTACTGGTCACTCGTGGTTAATTTTCCTGAATATTATTTGCTGCTTTACACGTCCTGACTTGTTGCTTCTCTTACTAAGGGGCTGACAGAAAAGTTTGGATAAAGTTGCAGTGAAAAGTTCTGCTGTATGTGTTCACACATGCAGCTCGCCCCTAAATTGAGGGGGGATTTTAGGGGTTTTGTTCATGTGTGAAAAGGTTTTATGAGTCGGTTTAGGTATGACACTGGCTGCAGTCTGAGTGTTTCTTTATCTGTCAGCTGGTGGCAGCAGCGTTGTGATGGATGTCGCAAAAGTCTCACTGCTCTCTCGTTTATCCCGCAGAAATCTGAAGCCAAGCTGGAGGAGATCTTGAAAGAAATCAAATCCCTAAAGGACCTGGTCAGCAGTCAGGAGAAGCGAATCATCAAACTTGAAGAGCAAATGTCCAAAATTGCCATTTAGTGACCCTTGACCCCGACCCGCTACAATTCAGGACGTTCCATTGGCTGGGGGTGGGCGGGACCAGTCACTGCCTCTCTCAATGACAGTGTTTCGCCTGAGGCCTGCCTAGCAACGATCCCTAGCAACATTCCAGATGAACTTTTTCTTATCCAGCCCCCCGACCCCTCACTTCAACACAGGTGGAATAAGGACGTGTGGCAAACTAAGCAGGAAACACTCTCGCTTTTTTGTGACAAGACTCTATTCCTTTTATTGTGTGGCAGTCTTTTTTTTTATTTTGTCTACTTGTGTCAAACAGTCCTACTTATTCTTGATTTTAGAATTATGACCAAGGAAAAAACGGTGTCTATAGAGTCCCCTTTGCATCTCCACATATTTTTAAGTAGGTTCAGTTGTTTCAACATTATTTCCCCCAAAATGATAAAGTTGCCAAATTTCCGATTATGGGAACGCCCCCTTTACAGTATTTCTTTTTTTTTTATGTGGAAACATCCAAACCAGGAATGCTTATTGCAGTCAACAGGTTATAAAAGGAGGAGGAGACCGCTGTCATTGACGTTCTTTGAAATAAAAACAATAAACTAAAAGTTATTTCCACATCCTTAAAATCTACAGCGAGGATGTTTAATTCTGAATGAGCACAGATAAACCTGTCGCAGCCAACATACCGCTTAGCCCACAGACGAGACGTGAATGAGACGTCTGCCGTCTGTGTCCCAAGCTGCTCAAACTAACGCCTGCTTTCTGCCACTCCTGCTGCTTCCCGTCGTTCTGACTGTGGACAACGGTCCGTGTAAACATGCATTCCTTTCTATCTGTCCTTAATTAACATGCACCGCGTGCGTCAGGCGGAGAAACACATTCCACAACAATCCTCGGCAGTTCTTGACGCAGGCGGGAAAAACACCTCTGTAAAGTGAAACCCCTCGGTCGTTTTGTGTTTGTGACATCTCTGTGTTGCCCATGACGACACTGACCTCGGCTCTGCGGAGTTTCTGTGCGAGGTTCAGTCAACTGCCTCGGTGTTAGGCAACCACTCGGGTTGATGTCCAACATACACGTGTCGTCAGCTGTAGTGGGATTGTTTTTTTTATACAGATCTGAGACTTAAAACAAAGCATCCGAGGAGTGCTACAGAAACTGTTCATGATGGACGTTGAAGGTCTGGATTGTGCGTGAACACGTGCCTCTTCTGGCTTCCTGTCACTATGGATCTCTGCTTTTTTTATTTTTAGGGGGAACTCAGTAGAGAGGTCAAAACTGCACTGCAAAAAAACTTAAATCTAAGCAAGTGTGTTTGTCTATTTTCTAGCCAAATGAATCTTTTACATTTGATACAAGTCACGATCACCTGACGAGTCCCGATAAGAATAAATAAAAAAAAATAAAAACTGAATCATAGCAAAATTTGCTAAAGTAGAACTGACATGAAAGGTTGTCAGGATAACAGAGTTCTTAATATCCATACCTGTTCAGTTACCATGGCAACAAATGTAGAAGTCTTAGACACCCAATATCGGAACTGTCTAAATTGCACAGTTAGCTCATATTTGTGCAATAGCGCGTGCAGGAGATTGTCTGCAATCCTTAATGGATGCATTCCTCTCCGACACAGCAGTCTGATGAATAAGATCTAGGTGTTTTTTAAAGCTTCAGCACTCTTTTGTTCCATCTTTCATTAAAAATAACAAAGAATGCATTGATTTAAACACGGAGTATTAAAAAAAAAAGACATTTTTGACAACCTTTCTCAGATATTCCTCCTACTTTAGACATTCGGATAAAAGTTTCTTGCAGCTTTGGCAGATATTTGTACTCATCACTTCAGGCTTCATTTTCTGCTCTCTATATCTTGAAATAGGATGTTTTTCTGGGCTTGTCAGGTGAATGTGGCTTATAATAACGTGTGATGAGATATTTGTGACTTGGTAAGATTTGATTTTTTTTGCAGTGAGGTCTTGAACTTGGATGAATTGAACACCCAGGTTCCTCCTCTTGTCGTTTAGTGTTTCTTGTTCCAGCTGTGCTCGTATCCCTCTTAGCACTTCCACATCTTGTATATCTTAAGGTTACTCCCCAATTAGCCCTCCATCAGTCAGTTAAGGAACCATTTCAACGCCCGGTCCGAGCTGCTCTGTTCAAGCAGCTCTGCTTCCTCCTGATGTTCGTTCCCCATATGGAAGCTGAGACGGCTTATGGTTCAGTCTGTTGTTTGCCTTCAATGTTTGTTACCACTGTAAAGACCTGAAAGTGCCATAGAGGAGAGCACGGACGTGAGTGTTTAAAAGGGGACTGTTGTGTGATAGGTTTGTGTAGAAGAGTCAATAGGTGCCCGGATTTAAAAACCACTTTGAGGTGCTCGTACTAAAGGAAAAACTCGTTCAAAAAGACCCTGTTTCTGAAGTCCTGCCGACCCCATCCCACAATCCACCAGGTGACATTTTCTGGTCTGGATTTGTTTGCTTTGCTGCCGCTGACGTTCACCGCTTTCCAACCTCGGTACGGGTATTCAAAACATCCTCAGAAACGATGTCAAACCGAGAAGCTGTTTGTGAACGCACAGTCTTTAGATCCATCATGATTTAAGAGAGTGAGAGGAAAGCTGCAGAAACAGAAACGGGTCTGATGCAACGACACTGCCCTATCCTGTATATCAGTTTCTTTACAGCACCGTCGGCACGAGAGAGAGAAAGAGAGAGAAGTATTTGAGGAGTAGTGAATAGTGATCCAAAGGGACTCAGTAGGTTGAGAAATGTGATGTTGAAAGATAGATGTATGTTTGTAATTAAGGTCTAGGAAATGTGTGAAAGCTGTAAATAACATGACCATATTTTCTGTATTTTTTTTTTTTCATTTTGTTTGGTGGTTGTGCTGAAGAGGGTATTTGTGTGGGAGGTGGGTTTTAAATGTTTCCCCTTGTCTGTGTTCCCTGCACCTTGCCATAACGCATCATGAGAAAAGCAGAACCGCTGTTTAATGTCGGAGGTCGTGTGAATATCGAGAAAGCCAATCAGACGAAGAGGAGAGAGGAAAAAAAAAAAAAACGAAACCTGGACGAAGCCTTGTGTCTGCTCAGCATTTTTGTTCATTATTCTTGCTTCAAGTATCAAACATTGATTATAAGAAAAATTAATAAAGAATTTTTAAAATGGGCTTCTTTGTGTGTTTGGTTTTTGATGAGACGGCTGAAGGGAAACAGGAAGTGTGGGGGGAGGGGGAGTGAATAAAAGGTCTGAGGCCGATGTGCTGGTGAGAACTGTAGCTTCTGTATGACGTCAATCGACTGAGCGAGCAGAACACACCTCACTTCTTCTGAAAGAAATTAAACGCCACCTCCTCATGTTGTCTGAGGCGTTCATCCAGATGTGTTTATTCAACATTGACATTATTGTCCCCGAGGGGAAATTTGTTTTGCAGCCAGGTGAAAACAAGAAACACGGGCACATCGACTCAGACATTACAAACTACATAAAACACATAAAATAACAGACTGTAAATATGATTGGACGAGGCCTGAGTGACGTCACCTGTATGTTCCTGCAGGGGGCTCTGGAGTCATGTTGATGGCGGTCTCCATGCTGGAAATCCTGTCTCACCCTAACTTTCAGTCCATATCTCCTGCCTGAGGGCAGAAGCTCAAACTCACCAAAGAGAGGACGTCGAGGACACCAAGATGTCTCCATTCTTTTCTCTTCTTCTCTTACTGAAGATCGGAGGAAGCAAAATCGTCTCCTAAACTCATGCAGACAAACACAAGACAAGCTGCTACCGGTCGCCCTCCTCCTCCAGGTTTCCTTTTTCAATTCAGCAACTGAGACAGAGAAAAAAAGGGAAAATAAAGAGACAAAATGCACATCTACCAAACATTGCACATCCCTTTGAGTCGTTAGATAATATGGTACATTATTTTCTTAGCTGCTGTGGCTCAGTGATAGAGTCGGTTTTCTCTTAGCCAGAAGGTCGGGGGTTCGATCCCCAGCTCCTTGTGCAAGACACTGAACCCCAAGTTACTCCTGCTGCTTCGTCGGCGGTGTATGAATGGGATTAGTTGATCCTGATGGACACAGTCAGTGTGTGAGTGTGAAGGTGTGACCTGCGGTGTCAAAGAGATTTGAGTCGTCAGGAAGTACAAAAGTGCTAAACAAGCTCAGGTCTATGTACCATTTGACCACATTGCGCGTCACAGATTATTTGTAATATCTTTGCTAAAGAGTGCACGATGTCTCGTTGGGCTTCTAAACTTGGATGAATGCCGCCGTGTTCCCCTCGCTCTAATATCAACGTCTTCAAGCAGCTGAAATAACGAGAATAAAATAAAGAGAGGAGCCATAAATAGACGTCCTTCATATTTAGAGATAAACGCCCCTGAGAGAAGAAGTGAAGTTTATATATTCGCCCTTGTACATATGTTTGTGGATGAAAGGGGTGCTTTCTCTGTGCGCTGCTCCTGTGCGCCCTGCGGGGAACAGGCTGTAATCAGCGGGCGCGTAATTACAGACCTCTCAGTGGGAGGCAGAGGAGTCTTTGGACTCGCCCCGCCGGGTCCAGAAATACACCGTCTCCCTGAAACATGGGACTCGTGTACCAACTGAGACGTCTCTGCAGTGACGCCTCAAAGCAGAAAACGTTCATATATCAATGCAAACTGTGATAAATCACTCTTTTAGACTCAATAAAAACCCTCCACAAAGATTCACAACTTGATTAAAATACTCACTTTATGCAGTAAGTGTCTGAAATTCTGAATGTGTCTACTTGTAAAAAAAAGCAGAATCCTTAAAGTCTGAGCTGTAAGTGCAGGAGGATGAAGGCCAGGAGGAGGAGGAGGAGGAGGAGGGAGGAGACGCTGCAGAGGGATGGACATCATTTTGCAGAGAGCAGACCTTTTAGAGCTTAAAAATATCATTCTGTATAACGGAGAAGGGAGGGCGACCGCTCAGAACCTCGCCTTCACTCTTACTTTCCTCCTCTCGCTCCTCTTTTTATTTTCTCCTCGTCTCCTGACGTCTGCGGCGAGTCGTGCTGCTCACAGGACAAACCAGACAGAACGCTTTCTGTGAGTATACATTCATGATTTTTGGGTTTTTTTTTTTAAATCAATTTTAAGAGAAGATAGATTATCAGAATCAGCTTTATTAGTCAGGTATTCTTACACACACAGGGAATTTAACTTTGGTGATCTGTGCAAAAGTAAAACATAAAAAATCAACAATAAACACAAAATCAGCAAAGACTAATATGTACAACACTCTCAGACTTAATTAACAGCATGAAAATGTAAAATGATGATGCATTTGGTTGATGTTCAAAGTGATTTTAAATCCTACATGTAGTCTGAGAAGGTGACTCCTTAAGGGTCGGAGTTCATCCCTCTCCTGCAGAGTTTAGGAGTTTGATTTCTTGCCACTTTGTTTCAAATTGTAATTTTTGTTGTTGTTTTTGTTTGTTTTGCTGTGCTTGTAATCTCGACGGTTTCGGAAATGAGGGAAACCTCATCGTCCGTCACTCAGTCTGTCCCTTGAAGGTTCTTGCACTTTGTAAGAGTGTTTACATTTTATGCTCCTTTATACTTGAACCTCATGGAGTTACTCAAACAAACATTAAACTCTTAAAAGGCTCTTCAGGATACGAGATGTTTACACTTTGATATGAAGATACTGAAACCTGTTTGGATACAAAGGCAGCACATTCAGAGTCCTGGGCGTGCAGTATTCAAATTATTGTTTTTAGTTACTAAAAGTTGCAAGAAAACGTCTGCTGACGAACATCTCAGTGCTGATCTTTAGGTTTTGTCTTTTTTTTAAAGCTTCAACACTTTTCGATGGTATGGATCATTAAGATTATAGAAACTGCATGGGGTGCTGGTGGCACAGTGGTTAGTGCACGTTCCCCATGTATGGAGGCTGTAGTCCTCCAAGTGGGTGGCCCGGGTTCAAATCCGACCTGTGGCTCCTTGTGGCATGTCATTCCTCACTCTCTCTCTCCCTGATTTCCAATTCTACCTACTTTCTTATCTCTCTAATAAAGGCACAAAAATAAATCTTAAAAAAAAAAAAAAAAAGATAACAGAAACTTCATTGTTATAAAACACCTGGTTTACTAAAATTGATGAAGATTGTGCAGATGAATCTTCCACTTTTTTACTTTTTCAGCACACGTTCCTCAGAACAACTTTCCTCGCCTCTCTTTTTGTTTCAAACTTGTAATCGAACATCTGAACCTTGTTGATCTTTTTTTTCCCCCCTGATTTGATTGAAATAACCAGCGATGTAACTGAAGGTCATCTTGTGTGATCTCAGCGTGTTCACTGATCAGACGTGTGGACGTCTTTAATGGTTCCACTCTGACGGTGTCTGATTGTCTCTGCTGCTGTGTCGTCTGAGCAAACATCGTTCAAACAGGATTTCATCAGCTTCACTCTGAGAGACGGAAACTTTAACAAGTATTAACATTTACAAACATTTGATTTTTGGTTAATGTGTCGTCATAAATGATGGCTTAGGCTTTTTTAAACAACATGTCTGTTTGATTTGAAGATCAAGAAGGAAGAAGATATGGCCGCTCACTTCGCTCAAATGAACAAATGCGCGACCATCTTCTTCCTCAGTCCGCTGTCTTTAGACGACCCTGCACCTTCATGACGTGTGTTTAACTGCCTCCTTTTTCTGATTCAAAGATGATTTTTAAAGATTTATTTTGGTGCTTTTCATGCCTTTATTTGAGAGACAGGACAGTGGATAGAGTCAGAAATGGAGGAGAGAGAGAGAGTGAGTGGGAGGTGACATACGGGAAAGGAGTCTCAGGTCGGATTCGAACCCCGGGCCTCCAGCTTGGACATGCACGCTCTAATCACTAGGCTAACGGCGCCACTTTCATGTAAAGATTTCTCATTAAATCTGATGTTAAATCACAGTGGAGTGAAAGATTTTATACTTTCACAACTAAATCAACAGTCTTTAAAGGTTTATTTATTTTCTGTTTTTGTTTTTCTTCAGTTCAGTGCAGACTAAAACCACTTTGGAAAAACATGTGCAAGAGGTAAACAGAACGAGTGGATGAAGACACAGGACAATAAATTAAACAAGAAAGGCAGAGACAGCAAGGCCACATGAGGAACACACCAGTAAATCATAGTTACTGTTTGCATGATGGACATGATGGGACTCGGTCTCGTCTCGGTCTCAGACGAGGCAGACTCCAGATTTTTAATCAAGACCACCACTGAGACGATATTTGTCCACATCTTGACTCGGTCTCTGTCCCTAAATGTCTTGGTCTTGACTCGGTCTCTGTCCCTAAATGTCTTGGTCTTGACTCGGTCTCGCCCTGCCCTGGTCTTGTTCTTATCTCAGTCTCAGAGCACTCTGGTCTCAGGTCTGTCTTGGTCTCTGTTAGTGTGTTTTTAACTACAACACTAGTTAGAGGATCAGAAATAAGTAGAGAAAGCCGTGCAGCAGGTCGGCATAGATGCTGTCTGACAAATGAATGATTGCTAAAAAAAATGTGTTTAACAATTTCCTAAATGTGTACACTGTTCTTTTCTTTCTGGTGTCTTTGCTGTGCACAGGTTTTTGTTTGAAAATAGTTAAAGGCCCATCTGGTGTTTGACGCTGGTCCCAAATAAATAAAGGCAGGGTCGTTTCATGGACTGGAGTAAATAAAAGCCCGGGCTATCGATTGAAGTTTTACAGTGATTTCTTTCCCTACAATCTGCTCGAGCTGCAGCTGTATTTTCCTGCGAGAGCACAGTCACAGTCAGTTGAGACTTCAGTTTCTAGTCTGCTGTCTGGACATTGTGGTTTCAGTCAGTGTTATATTTAAGACGGGAGGAGGACATGTGGTTCATCTGTGCAGTGTCTAAATACACAGTCTTGTATTTAGACAGTGTTCAAATGTAATCAAATGGATTCTTGAAACGTGGTGACGGACGGCCTGCAGGTCAGGATCATTTGATCCCGTTAGTGACATGGAGGGACTCTAACGTGGTTTTATACGAGGATGAAGGAAACGTTACTGTCCTGTAGCTTTACATCAAAGGATGAAGACGTAGACAAACATCTGGTCCAGTAAAAGCTTCATGAAGACCACACAGGGAGGGGGTTCACACTGTGCAGACGAGAGCAGCAGCAGCAGCTTCACTATAGCAGGAAGCTGATTAGAAGCTTCTTTAACACGGCGTAATTACACGCTGTGTCAGGAGCTAAAGCGGGCTAAATGCTAACAGGTTTAGCCTGGTTGTTCCTTCTTTAAGCTCGACCTCACATTTGAAAAGACGGAGACAATAATGGAATAAATGTCACACTGGGTCGGGATGTTTATACTGTCAGTTGTGCGCTCTGTAAATGGAGGTTTTCCTGGAAGCAGGAATATCTTCATGGAGTTTGGTGTACAGTACAGCTGCTGCAGCCCAGAGTAAATATAGAGACCACAGCCGCAGGTCTCCCACGCCTCTGTGCTCCCTCTGCCCTACAGCTTCCTCCTCGCTTTGGTGTGGTGGATGGGAGGCCTCCCTCTACTTCACAAATTATAAGGCCGACAGCAGAAAACTCGATGCCTCCACCCCAAATAAGTAATGGCTACTCTGCTGCCGGCTAAAATAGATCTGCTCCAGGATGGGAAACAGCAGAACAACCTGGAAAAATCAGACTCAAGGTTGACACCAGAGGAACTTTTAAAGCATTGTTTAAATCTTGAATTGTGTGTCTCTCAAGTCAACACTTAGATTAGATTAGTGTTTTCAGACCTGAGGGTGAATGATGGCACACATTGTCACCAAGAGCAAAAGTCTTAAGGAGCAGTTTTTCATCAAGTAGCTTTAGCAACCTCCGGTGTTGAAAAGCGATTGTGGATGTGCAAAGAAGCTGCAGTTCCTCGAGTGTCCACTTGAGGCTGGATGCAAAAGCCAAGGAATCCCCATTAGTCCCCATATTAAGCTGTTATCTTCACAGCAGCTTCTATAACTCATCTCTTTGATTATATTAAGAGTTTGTTTGGCACACATGTGGCTGATTTGACTGACAGGTCTTTGCCTGTTTCTAGATCGACCAAAAGTTAGTTTGAGTCAGTGTTTCCAAAATGGCGTCCATCATTTTGTTAGCCTTCATAACGTCTCTTCAGAAACCAATTGGTGACCTCGCTGAGTGTGTTTATATGGACTTGAGTATCCTGGTTCTGATCAGGTTTTTTTGAATTATCCTGTTTCTATCTTTGTCTTTGTGTATGTAAACATCACATCCTGATTTCAGAAACCGGTGTTGTGCAGAGAAATGCATCCCTGCCAATAATTAGTTTATTTCCCAGATGTAAGATGAAAAGATTGTTACCACTTTAGGTTTGTAAAATAAATATCAAGCATCAAAGAACTTTTCTCATCCCGCCAGGGGCACATATTTCTAAAAACACAACACAGCGGCAAACAGATAAAACATCAGGAAGCAAGTCGCTCTGCTCAGCAGGACGAATGGGAACATGAGGGAAACAGCTCGACTGGCTCAGTTTAGACGAGAGAAAAAACCTCGTCCACTCCTTTAAAGTTTTAATATTTTAATCACCTTCGGGTGGGCGGACCCGCAGACTTCAGGAGGCCACTGCACCAGGCGGGCTGGTTTCAAAGGAAATCAGGTTGTTTAAACTGAAACATAATGCATATAAGAAGTGGAGTACTAATCTTTAGAAATGCTGTTAGTTGGATTAAGTCAACCATGAACAAAGCTAGGCGAGTCGATTTCCTATGTTAGCAGTCTTTGCTAAGCTAAGCTAACCAACTTGGCTAATGCACAACATTTTTAACAGCTTATAGAAGAATAAGAACCCAGATGAAAATTTGTTGTTGTTGTTGTTTCAGGAGTGAGAGGAGAAGATGACGTCCCGCCTGGTTTCTCTGGTCGCTCTGCTCTCTCTGTGGTTCTGTGTGTGTCACGCCACTCCTATGTTCTATAACATATCTATGGACGGCAGCGGAGACGAACCAGAACTGGAACTTCTTTTTCCCACCACTCGAGCCCCGGTTCACATCTCTGCTGCTACTGAAGCCCCCAGCTTCACCAACAGCATCACCACCACCATGATCCGCCTGAAGGACTTCGTCCTGACTCGAGTCGTGGATTTCCTGCAGGAGCACCTGCTCATCATCATCGTGGTCACCTCCCTGCTCATCGTCATGGTCTTCATCATCTGCTGCGCCTCGGCCATGAGTCACAAACGCAAACTGGAGGCCTACAAACCCTCTCCTAATCCCCCCAAGAAGCACACGGCTGAGAAGAAAAACGTGCGCAAGAATTCAGAGGATATCCAGGAGCGGCCGTACGCCGTCGACCATGTCAAGAGGGTCCACGCTCAGAGCTCCCCGAGGCACTTCCGCCAGCCCTCCAAGGCTCTGGTGGGAGAGAAGGGGAGAGACGTCAGGTCGTCTCCTCGCCAGGAGGTGAGAAAGGTCAGGGACGTGGAGCAGGTAGAGAAGAGGAGGGAGGAGCCGAAGCACAAGGAGCCGCCGAAGCAGCGAGAGGAGAGTCCCAGCAGCTCCAGTCCCCCGGTCTGCACCTGCCACCTGAAGAAGAGCCATCACTAGTTCAGGCTCAAGGCTGGGGTTGTTTTTAAGAGCTGACAACGTAAGAGGAAGATCACAGAGGCTGGTTAAACTGCACACTATGAAAAATGTGCAACGAGGATAAAAATATCCTTAACATCTGCAAGCAAGATATGGATTAATGAGGCGAGAAAACCTCGATAAGTTACATTAAAACAAATAAACATGAAAATATAAACATCAACCTGCAGCTTTAAGTAAAGAAAATATAAAAACAGCAGAAAAGAAGAAATATACGGAAGCCCTAAGTGGATACTGTTTTTTATGTTTGAGCTTTAAAAAAAAAAGAAGAATAAATGGGAAAAAAGTAACAAAAACAAAATAAATACAGAACATTTAGTATCCACACTTGCAAAAAAATAGGATATTAAAATGTTTAAATATATAAAACAATAAGTTTTCTTGTGTTTTGATGGAGTGAAATCGTTGTGAATGCCTGCCGAGACAGAGGAATCCCCTCAGTACGTCCTGCTGTATGTTTAGAGAGAGAAACCTGAGAGGAGCCAGTAAACTTTACCTGTTGGACCCGGTCCAAAACAATCTCTTTATTTCTACATTTATACTTAATTATGTTTTTTAATGTTATTACATGTCACCTCTTTTATTTGACTTTAATGATCACAAGGTTTTATACTGAAGGATATTTTAAAACTGTTGTTGTTGTTGTTGGCTAACATGCCTAAACCAAAGAAACATTTCTCAATAAAATGTATCTTCTATTTATCAGTCTACATGTTTAGTTGTTTTTTTTCTCAAAAAGTGTATCCAGCTCTTCGGGTGAATTGATCTGTTGCCGTGCTCGGATGCTTCGTCAGAAGTTTTGATCTGTGAGTTAATGAAGCAAGAATTTCACATGTTTTATTTCATTGTTGTTTTTTGTTTGTGTGTTTGTGTGTGTTGCTGTCTCTCTAAAGTTTACAGTCTTATTTGAATATTTAAATTCAACCAACCAACTCATCCGATTGTCCTTCCATAGCCGCTGTTAACGTTTCTAGAGAAACATATGCATGCAACTCACAGCGGGAGATTATATCTAATAGAAGGTAGGGAGGGGGGGCAGGGGGAGGGGGTCTCTTGGGTCAAGATATGATGTAAAAAAGTGCAGAAGTAGCCGACCAAGCAGCAGAGTCTGTTGTATGACAATCTAATGAGAATATTTGTCTTCATATTAATGCTGTGTGGTTAAACAGAATCACAATATCAACTGAAGAATGGAGAAGACAGGGGGGCGTGTCCAGAGGGGTGGCATGGGCCCCCCCTAGAAATCTGATTGGCCACCCCAGGTGCCACTCCAAAAACAATTCTAAACTGTGATTAGCTAGTTACCCTATCAGAGGCGGGACTTATGTTAAAACCAACTATTAGGTCATATCAATGTAACATATTTCCTTTTGTTTGTACTCCAAATTGTAAATAAAAACATTGCACACATACTTAATAAAACAAGTTAATAGGAAAGTAATAAACACCGTCTCACTGGCAATTAATTAACTGTGTCGGGACCAAAACTTTGTGGGAGTTTTTAAGTATTTAATTTGTCACTTTGAACATACATCTTCTTCTTGTTTTATTTAAAAAGTTAAGCTAATGTTTCTATTATCTTGTGTTATAAAGTAGACAATATAGGTGAAGTTAGAAATGGAAAATAATTGATATTTATTTGTGTGTGTGCTCACACCACACTTCAGGCCACCCCTGCGTCAGTGCCCGGGTTGGGCCACCCCAGTCATTAGAGTCTGGACACGCCCCTGGGAGAAGAACATCCTGGAGAACTGAGATCACACTGGTTTCATGCAGACAGTCTAAGATAAACTTCACCTTCTACCACTTGAGTTGAATTCTCCTGATTACATCCTGCTGCGGGATATATGGTTTGGTTTGCTTTTGTAGGTCGTAGAGAGACGTCAGTATTCATTTCAGTCTGTTTCATAACCACCAACAAACTCCTCACAGGAGCTTTAAACGTCACATATTATGCTCCACTTTTGAGAAAATGTGTGCTCAAACAGGCCGTTTGGAGATTTTCCCTTCATGACATTACAAAGGGCAGTAGCCCCTCCCCCAGGTGGGTGACACTCCCACAGCTAGGTGTTTGTTCTGCCCTCTGAGTCTGCCTTCTCACCGTAAACAATAGGACATGGAGCGAGAAAGCCCGAACTGCCCAAGCCCTTCTAGAGAGGGGGCGTGGTCAGACTCAGCTCATTTACATATTTAAAGGTACAGACACAGAAACAGCCTGTTCCGAGCAGGGCTGAAATAGAGGGGTTTATAGACATGATCAAATACAGGATCAGAATGGATTTAGAACAAGAAACTTCACAGACATGTTTTGGAAGGCTCTGAGACTTATTTAAACTTTTTGAAAAGGAGGCTAATATGTGACCTTTAAAGCTTTTTTTGTTTTGTGTTGGCAACAATGGGCTACTGTACACCCTCAGCCTTCAACTGTCAAACATTAACAACAGCTTTTTCTGTGTTAAAACTTTGTGAATCTGTTTTTGTATTATTGTTACTTATGTATAAGATAAATTCTGGGTTTTGCTTGTAATGTAATGATTTAATTTGAGTAAAAAACTTGTATACAGGGATAAAAGCTCAGCAAAAAAAACCCTGAAGAACTAAGAATTTTGCACGTGTCGAATTAATTTGGAGGAAAATTATCTTAAACTTTCAGTATTCAGTTTTGTAAGATGAATGCAGACGCTGATTAAACTCTTCTGTTGAGCCTCAAATGATCGTCCTCAGATGTAAACACACAGACCTTTTTATTTCTCTGTGACAATTTAATTGTTTGTATATTTTTATGTTTAATAAAATAATTGATGAAGATGTTTCTGTCTTTACTGGAACAGGAGCAGTGGAAAGGGTTGTAGCAGGAAAGACAGACGCAGCCCTGAAGAAACCCTTAAATTAGAGAAGGCGAGGACAATCTAAAAAAGAAGATGCCCGCTCTACTTGCACGTTATGTTTAACTGTGGGATCTGTAATTTCGAGCTGCGTCCACTTTAAAATCACGGGTGGCTATTTTTAAGGTAATTACCCGAATGTTAGACTCTTTCTATCTGCTCTTTGGAAACCAGAGCTGTCGTCTTACTCCACATTTCAACCCTGAGCGTTTGGTTCACCTTCACATGTTAGGATTTATCGAAGCAGCTGGCACCGTCACACCCAAACACACGACTGCAGAAAGTCCACAGCAGCCCTTTTGTCCTCCGCTGGCTACTGTACAAGATTGTTAAATATTTCAGCAGTAGTAAAGCAGACATGAACAAAGCCCTTTGAACCAACACAAGCTCATGTTTCATTTGTGAAAATCTAGAAAACACTGATTTACTCCTCAAACAAAGAGCAACTTTAAAGAAGCGATGAAACGCCCTCATGTGAACAGTACAGATATTATAACATGCATGATCACTCATATCATCCACCTTTAAATATACATCAGGATTATATCTCAAATAAGTAAACAAATGGGATTAAATATGACTAAAACATACAAAGCCCTGACTAGTCTTCATTGAAAAAGGTTGTTCTGAAACAGACACATACGGTGGCCCTGAAGGCAAATACATTTCACCCAGCCACCTCCATCGGACTGTATCATCCCCACAACGACCGCCGTCTTCATTCATACATGGCCTGCTCCGACATCCGCCTCAGCGGCACACGAGGAATTCGTCCTGCGTATTCATGCTCTTTTGTAAAGCGCCTCAAGATAACACTTTGTATTTTTATTGGATTTTTTTTTTGAATTTAGTGAACATTTTTTTGTGTTTATTGAAATCAATCAATCAATCATTATTTGTATAATGCCAATTCATAATAACTGTTATCTCGAGATGCTTTACAAAAGAGCATGAGAGCAAAGAGCTGAGCTGAGCTTTTGGTTGTTCTGGGAAATCTATACAAAGTCTTTTGGCAAGAACAAGTGTGCAGGCATATTTTCATGTGGGTAGCAGGGAGGGCCCAGCTTTTCATAGATGCAAGGAAAAAAGATTGGGAACCATTGCATTTATAGACGATTTCTACGTCCTTTGATTACAGCAAATAAACACAAACATCAAATATGGCTCACAGCTTTTGTTTTAAAGAGGACATATTGTCCCCCTTCTCCACCTTTTCAAACAGTCTCCTGTGGTCTAAATGAAACATCTGTGCTGTGCTTTGGTCAAAATATAACATGAATCAAGCACCAGAGGAGGTTTGTGACCCTGTATAAACCAGCTCTCTCAGAACGCTCCGTTTTGGTGTGTGTGTCTCTTTAAATGTAATGAGCCCCCCCCCCTGAGTTTTCCCAGTAGACATCACTCCTCTGTAGAGAGAATAAAAATGGCCGACCACCGCAAAAGTTTTGCTCTAAGCTGGGGGTGGAGTCCATGGGTGGAGATATCAGGGGAGAGGAGGGGATTTTTTATACCAGAATCCCACTGTGACATCACAAGGAGAGCACATTTGAAACGGAGCATTTTCCTCTGTGTTGTAAGAATTATGCAGACCACAAACAAAGGACTGGATGGATTTATTTCACATTTTGTGGGTCTGTAGATACTCAGGTTACCCAAATATGTATTTAAAAACACTGTACATTTGTAATATGTGGGTCAATGTGCCAAGGATCAAAGATCAGAGAGGACAGCACAGCAGCTTTGACGGGATCGTAACCATGTGGCGGCTGAAAGGTGAGCCTTGACACAGCCTCTCTCCGGGGTCAGATAACCTGATCTTTTGTCAAAGAGGTGCTAAATAATTCGAGAAAATACTACCCCTTCACTTTCGCTCTTCCTTCCCAGCAGGTGAGGAAAAGGCCACAGGACGTCCCAGCTGTGCTTTCTGACAGTCGGCCTCTTTCATAAACTTATATTTCGGCCACCTGATAATGATGGACAACACTGCTGCCTCTCTTCTCGTGTTTCTACTCTGACCGTCTTCCTCTTTGCATTGCGACCCCCTCTCACTGTCTGACACTGACAACATTACCTCTGTATCTCTCTGACGGTGAAGAGGATCCAGAAGAGGTAACACAGCACCTTAAGGGCCGTCGTTAAACTTTGATGAGCATCTTCAGGAAAACTCTCAACGACAGCAGCAGCAGAAGTCATCTTCAGATCATGTGAGGATTAAACCGTCTCGTCTCTGCAGAGGAGCTGAAAACACGGTGGAAATGGTGAGTGTGTGAACCTTTGAAGGCGTTACTACGGCAACAATAACAGTTTTATTGAGGGGATAAAAAGTCATTTAGTGGAGAGAACTTTTGGGCTGTCAGTCATGTCAGTTAAATCTTACATTCTGGTTTTTATCTTACTTTCAGCCACTGTCTGAGTCGTACATTTAACTCTCTGTTCATGAGGCCAGGAGACATTTAATTCATTCATCTGTTTATGTTTGCTGTTAACAAAGCTGATGACTCGCAGCTGTTTGAGAAGCTCTCTCAGCCCTCTGAAACTATAACCTGTGTGTCTAATTTATGATAATAATACATTTTATTTACAGGCATCTTTAAAACACTCAAGGTCACCTTACAAAGCAGAGAGAAAAACCAACAACAAACTAACAATACATCGAAAAAGTTCAAATTAAAAAGACACATTTACAGGATCTATGAAATCATTGTGAAGAGGATTCATGAGACACGATGGATAATGATCAAACGACGTGTTTTGAGATGAGATTTTAAAGTGGAGAGAGAGTCAGAGTTACAGACATCTGGTGGGAGGGAGTTCAGAGGAGGCTGAAGGCTCTGGACCCCCGTGGTGGACAGACGGGCGGGCGGGCAGGCGAGGTGAGTTGATTGAAGAAGTCCTGAGTGTGCAGGTGGGTAGAGGCGCTGCTTGTCAACAGGCACCCACCCCGAGGGCTGACAAACTTTAAACCACAGCAGAGGCTCAAAGCGCCCCAGGTTTGAAATGACAGTTGGAAACCTCCCCAATGGGGCCCTATCTGACACCACTCACTCACAGAACAGTAAACAACTGGATGTCTAGTCCTGAATGCTGTTCTTCATATTTTTACTCAGAAAT